ATTGTGTGAAATGTCTTGTTTGTTTTTTTAATGAAATGAATGAATAAATAAATAAATGAATTAAATATATTAACAGGACAAGGTTTGATTTGCTCTTCAGCTCGTGACTGACAGGCTCGGCTTCGACACCCGCACCACTGTTCTTGGACACGTGCAGCGAGGAGGAACGCCCTCTGCCTTYGACAGAATCTTGGTGACTATCAGCAGTTAGGATTAGAAAAWGTGCATCTCTGCCCRTTTTCACACGAACCAAGTAATGGTCCAAATGTCTGCATCGTCCAGGGCAGCAGGATGGGCGTGGAGGCGGTGATGGCGCTGCTGGAGGCCACTCCAGAAACTCCTGCCTGTGTGGTCAGCCTGTCGGGGAACCAGGCTGTTCGGCTGCCCCTCATGGAGTGTGTGCAAGTGGTGCGTCAGGTTTTATTCACCCGCACGGTGTTGTTGCTTCATTCTTCCGTTCTCACATGGTGTTCATCTCACAGACCAAAGATGTGACTGCRGCCATGGCTCAGGGTAAATTTGAAGAAGCCATCAAACTCAGAGGAAGGTATGTACTGTCCGATTTGTATTATCAGTATACAGTATGTTTGTAGTGTTAGCAAAATATCTCCTGAACAAGTTAATGGATTTTTCTTTTTAATTTGCATTCAACTCAAATGGACAACTTGATTAGATCTGGGTTTTTTATATTACTTCCCTTTTAATAATTTAAATAAAAGTGTATTTTCAGTTCTCACAATGTTCCTCACTCAAACTAACTGGATTTGCAGGAGCTTTGAGAATACCTGGAACACGTACAAGCTGCTGGCTCACATAAATCCCCCTGATGTTAAGGTGARCATCCTCTCCTAATTTTTTATTTTATTTTATTTTTTAATCAGACTTCACCACTGCTGTGTGTTCTTTTTTAAAATGTATTTCTTTTACTTGAACCTGACCCTCGGTTGGTTTCATTAAACTGCAGAGCAACATCAACATGGCTGTTATGAACGTGGGAGCTCCCTGCGCCGGTATGAACGCTGCAGTTCGTGCAACAGTCAGGATGGGGATCATCCAGGGTCACACCATGTTTGCCATTCATGATGGCTTCGACGGTCTGGCTCACGGACAGGTACACACGGTGCACCTTTCCTTCCTCGTCCCAGTTTGGGGCTGTGGTCTGTTTTTCTTTTCTTTTTCTTTTTTTTCTTTTTTTTTTTTGTTTGTGTGTGTGAGCCCAAGAAACCAGTTTTATCCCTGTTCCTAATTTGGTTTCTTTAAGTTGACTCCAAGTGCTTCACAAGAGCCTCAGATCTTTACTTAAAAC